CATGGCAAGGAGAGTAAGTTTTTGCTATGTAATGAAGACAGAGGTCGCTTTCTCTTCGTTGCGGTTTCTGTCTCATTATGCACACCTGCGTGGAGTATATCTTCAGTAGCAAGGAACAAGTATTTTAGGGACTGCTTTATCGCTTTTGAAAAGTCCAACTCTTGCAAATCACAGAGCTGTCTGAAGCCTTCTTCAAGGACACCAGTTTTGCACTTGTGCACTCAGGTTTCTACAGGGAGCAAGTTGATTTTGTGGCTGCTTTGTGAGTTTCAGTGACTGGGCCTATCATTACACGTATCAGAAAATACAGGGATATTTGCACAAACTTTAGTTTGCCAAGTTAAAAACCTAGAATTTTGGTATGGTACACGGTAGTACCAGATAATGACTTCCTTTAATCAGTTAGCCTTTAATCAACAGCTTTCTGCAATATACATGAAAATGAATTGACTAAAATTTGCTCTCAAGCACAATAACATTCTTTGTTCAAAGCCAGCTGACACCACCAAGACCAGGTGACGCACCTTGATCCCTTTCCTTCGTTTGCCAGAATTTCCAATGATTAGCATTTGCTCACTTGCCCAATTGCCAAAACCTTCCTATTTATATGCTGATCAGATTACCAAAATATTTTTGGAAGATATACCTTATTTTTCCACAACAGTCCATGAAATAAAGCAGACTTGTATAAGTAGCCTTCTCATTTAAGGAACATAATTGCAATTAAGATTAATAAGCACATCAGTTTAATATATTCTGATCCCCATTTACCTTTTAGCACCTGAAGAGTGACAACAGCGTAGGAATAGTGAAATAACTCAAATGTCTCTATGGAATTCTTAGTGAAACCAGAAGGGAAAATTGATCAAATAGAATGTCTTTCTTCCCCAAAATACTCCTGGAGGTTCTGTGGGAAAAATAAATTTAGAGATCATAAATTCCTTGTTTTCAAGCCAGTTCTCTGTAGAACCAATTGATTAAAGATGGGACCGTAAGGTATAGTGTATCCACTTGAATGTACTCACTTATAATTGAAAGAGTGAGGCCTCCAATTGAAATTAGCAAATACCATGAAGCTTTTCTCAAAATAGTTCACAGAGAAAAGTAATGCATAAGCTAACAGAGCTTGTTAAAGCTCAAGATTCAATTTTGCTGGGGGGTGGTGTGTACTGACGTATATTTAACATCTTGTCTTTACCATCTCAGTCTTCTGCATGTTCCTGTCCAGCAATTCACTTTTGCATGGGCAGAAATTATCATCACTTTCATTCCTGCATGCAACCTTGAAGATTCTCATGCGCATCCTTCCGCTGATGTAGATGGCTAACCAAGATACCAGCGCATGATGCTACCTTTCTCTCTGACTACTCCCTTGTGTTGCCTTCAGTCCAACAAGGGAAAAGCAGTTCTTGCATGTAGCAGGCTTTCCAATAAGCATGTGTAACCCAGAGGTACTCAGCTGTGGTCTGTGAATCATCAGACTGGCTCACAGAGCTTTGTTTAGGGTGAGCTGGAGAACTGGCTGATAACATAGCACTGGCACTGCTTCCTTTTATTCTGCTTCTAAATTGCATTAATGTCAGCAAAATTATCCTAAATACTAATAACTTCCTAATAGATCATTTCCATGTAAGCATTTGTTGTAGTTGACCGAGAATGTTATATGATTACAAATGAGAGAGAGGGAAGGTAAGAACATCCTTAAGAGAATTTATGAAATAAAATGTAATCCACATTCTGAAAGGATGACAACTGCTCTCATTCATACTGCTTACTTATTTGGTTCAGGAACTGAACAGAAAAGACACACAAGTATATCTCAGATGCAGTTTCGAGCTTAGGATAACACCATGTAAAGAAAGTATTAATTTTCGTATCATCAATGTGCCCAAATTAAAAAGTAGCTCTTAAAAAAACTACCAGCTGACATTGAGATGTGTGGGTTCTTGTTCTTCTCTCGGCTTCCCTGGAGAAAAGAGAAGTCATGATGAGAGAGAACACTTCAGTGAAAGGGGAATAATTTCCTGGTGTACAATACCTAAACTTGTACATTGGTTTTGTCTATAATGGTCACAAGTACAAATTGGAAGTCCTGATCCTGTGCTCAGGTGCCTGGCGGGGGGCAGATACCTGCACTTTACCAGTGGGGCTATCAAAAGCTAGAGGGAACCATTCAGGTGACTCCAAGTGCACACTTAAGGCCAAGATAGGGAATAATTGTCTGAAATATATCCCAGCTCAAATTGTTCTGCATACTTAGAATTTTGCAGTCTTTGTTCTTATTAAAGTGATGTTTACCAGTAAGATAAACTTGCATGCCAAATATCACTATGTAAATTTTGGGAA